GGAGTCACCAGCACCTCCCAGTTCGGTCCCAACTGCTCTCCAGGCATGTGGAGCCCCATTCCCTACTCCCACTGCACCCTGCCCAGACACTCCTTCAGCCTGGACCTGCTCATCTCCCACACGGACCCTGCCAAGGTGCCTTCCAGCCCCAACCATTCCAGGATTCCACGGACACCGTCTCCAGAAGGAGCTGGGAGGGATGGGATCCAAACTCTTCCTGACACCCTGAAAAACAACATCCACCAACCTTCCACCATCTCTGGGATGGGGGACCTTATCCAGGACATCAAACCAGTCAGACAGGACCCTCCCTTCCTCAAGCCATGGGGACAGTGACACCCTCCAGCTGCTTCCATTGCCACACAGATGAGGTGGCAGCGCCGGGGCAGGTGTAGCAGGGCAGGTGCTCCCATGGAGACATTCCTGCCTGTGCCCCATAAGGGTGTCCCTTTTCCCCTCACACACCCCATCCCAGTGCAGTTCTCCATCACCAACACCCTCCAGGGAAAACATTTCCACTATCGCCCCTAATGGGGTTCCTTTTCTCACCAGGAGCTGGCACAGCGCTGGGTTTGGATCCAGGATGGGAATGCTGTGGATCACACACGGTTGGTTTGGTTGTTGCTCCCTCCTCAAGGACTCTGCAGTATCCCATAGGACAATCCACACCTGCTGCTCTGCCAGCCAGGAGGTGACACCATCCTCCTCCTCCTCCTCCTCCCTGGGTCCCACTTGGCCAAGAATCTCACGCCCGCTCTGCTCCAGAGGGGCCTCCATTGCCCACCGGGAGCCCCTTTCTCTGGGGTGCCCTGTGCTGTGACATCACAAACGGGGCTGTGACATCACACAGGTGTCCCCACCCACAGGGCTGTGACATCACCACGCTGACACCAGGTAACACTGGGAGTCATCCCCCGGCTCCCAGCGCGGTCCCGATGGGACGTGGGGAGCCATGAGCGATGGCAGCGTCCTGCTCTCCGTGCTGCTCCTGCTGGTGGCCACCGTGGCCGTGCCCCTGGCCATCCGCCTTCGGCAACGGCCGCTGGGGACACCCGAGACCTGGAAGTGCGCCGGGAGCCGGGCCAGGGACTCCCGGAACAGCCAAGAGGCACCAGCGGGTCCCAGTTCCCCCCCAGCTCAGGTGACCCCTGCCCAGCGTCCAGAAGCTCCCGGGAGCTCCCTGTACATCCCGTGCGGATGCAGCCCCGACTGCTCCCCCTGCACCACGGCATCCCAGGAGCTGCAGGACGTGGTGATGCCCGAGAGGACCGGGGAGCCCTTCCCGCAGGATTCCTGGGTGTGCCAGACGCTGTGGGAGGACCTGGAGAAGCTGGTGGAGCGAGGCCACCTGTCCTGCTGCGGCTCGTCCAGCTCCTCTGGGAGCCCCCCTCCCACCAGGAGCCGGCGCCCATCCAGAGCCTCCATCCGTCGGAAAGCATCCACGAGAGCCCATCCCAGAACCCGCCGCCGCCGGAGATCCTCAGCTCCCACGAGAGGCTCCATTCCCTCCCGGAGCCTCAGTGATTCCTGCCAGAGTCCAGGCAGAGGAGCCCCCACAGACAGCCCCCCCCGCCCCGGAGCTGCGGGAATCGGCACAACCTGCCCGGGCCTGACGATGCACATGGCCAGGAAAAACCTGGAAGTCAAACTGGGAGCCCAGCCCACTGCAGTGAGGCGTTCCCGGGAGCAGGTGGCACAGCAGGAAGTGTCCTCTCGACACCAGTGCCCAGCCCACGGCTCCCGGGGAGCTGCGGCCGTGCCCTATGAGAAGACCGTCCGTGCGGTGCTGGATAAAATCCTCCAGCGGGAAGGGAACGTGTTCCCGTCTCCAGGGCCCTCTCTGGAGCTGGATAAGGAATACGCCCACACATCCAGCACTCCTGGCAAAAGTCTCCATCCCTCCCAGAGCCTCTGTGTGACGCCGTACGGAGGAGCCCCCCTGGACAGGCCTCCCTGCTCCCTCGGGGCCACAGGAACGAACAGAACCCGTCCGGCCTGGAAAAGCCTGGGAACAGAACTGGGAGCCAGGGCCATTCCAGCAAAGCATTCCCAGCAGCAGGTGGCCCAGCAGGACGCGTCCCGGGGCCGGCAGTGCCCCATCCACGGCTCCCAGGGCAGCGCGGCGGTGCCGTACGAGAAAACCCTCCGCGCGGTGCTGGACCAGATCCTGCAGCGGGAAAGGAAAGCGGAGCAGCCCCGTCTCCAGGGAGCTCTCTGGGGATGTCTGTCGAGGGTCGGGATGAAGTTTGTGGCAGCAGCTCGGGCACTTCAGAGGTTTCTCTGTGCTAAATAAACTGGGATCTTCCCCGAAAGCTGAGTGCTCCCACTGCTCTGGGGTCACTGGGATGGGGTTCCTTTCTTCCCAGCAGCCGTGCCCTCTCGGATCCCTGGCTTCCCACACCACCTGCTCCTGGTATAAACAGTGCCACTGGAATTAATGAATACTTAGTTAATAATTAATAACACTGGAATTAATTAGTATCAGCGTCAGAAACAGTGGGAATCTTTGTTTGGAAAGGGAAATGGAGGAATAAATGGAGTGGAATACCATGGAGCACAAGGCAGGGAGGGGATGGTGGAAAAGCAGCTTTTAAGGAGTTCTTCTCTGAGGTTTTATCCCAACAAGGTGCTGACACATGGAAAGCTGGAAGGTAATTCCTAGAAAATGTGACATACGGAAAATAAAAAATTTAGGGATGTTATTTGCAAATATTATTACTTTTAAATCATCTTTCACCCCTCCACCACCAAACCATTCCTGTACCTTCCCACATACTCACCGTGAAGATCCTTGGAGATAAAAGAGGAATATTTAATTAAAAAATTCCTGTTAGGACCAATTATGGATCGAAACATTTAAGAGAATCCACAGCAAGGAAACAAAATCCCACTTTTAGAAATATTTATGGATAAGAAATATGAAACAAGTCTTAATTTCCCTGCAAAACAAGCCCAGCTTATTTCCCAAATTGGCAGAGAGCAAACCCATGGAATTTTGATGTCTACAAAGTAACTAAAAGCTTAAAACTGGAACTTTCTGTGCTCCTGCCTGTGTTTGGTTTGCTGTTGTGGAATTCCATCTAAAAGTGGGATTTTTTTCATTTACAACCATGGTTTAAGCCATTTCTCTGGAAAAAGAGAAACAGTGTCTTCGTTCTTACATTTTATTCTAGAAACAAAACCCTGCACGTGGCTCCAACAAGCAACAAAACTACAAAAAATACAGAATTAAATAAGAACTCAAAAGAGGTTTTAATTTCTAATTCCCAGCCCAGGATCTGTCAGTGTGCACAACACAGAACGATGCCTCTGGAATTCAGGGGGTAAAGAGGCTGCTTTCCTAGGCTCCTGGATATTTTTATTTCTATGCATTTTTAAGCAAGACTCAGGCTGGGAGAGCTGTAGCCAGCAGCTTTCCTCGGATTATGTACTAAGAGCAGGCCAGGACTTTGCTGGAATTGGGATCACAACTGGATTTTAAATAAGTGAATATGAGAAGGGAAAGAAAAACCTAAATAAACTCTTATTAAAGAGAAAATTTTACCTCATTATTTGAAGCCTCCTTCCCAATTCCAGCTTGCCTTCCACTCCCATCTTACCTCTTTTGGGATGGACAGGATTGGGTTAACCTAATTTTCCCCTGGTTTGCTCTGTAGCTGGAATTCTTAACTTTGGGAGTGTTTACGCCCAGAAGCTGCTCCAGTTCTCCCCTCTCCCAGCCTCATCCGTTCCTTCCCGGCACTAACTGTTTGTCATTAGCCCAAAATTCCTCACCGAGCCCCCAAAAACCCGCAATCCCGGCGGTTTGTGGGTGCCCAACCCCGTCATTTCTCCTTTTTAGCCTTTGTGGTGGCGGCGCCGGGCTTCGAGCCGGGCTTGGCTTTCTTCCTGGCCGATCCCTTGGGCTCGGGCTCCTTGCGCTTGGCCGAGGTGATGGAGCCGGTGACCTTGAAGAAGTCGTCCAGGCGGCCCTGGGTGCTGCCCTGGCGGCTCTTGCTCAGCCTCCTCACGCCGTTGCGGATCCGCTCCTCGCTGAACTGCTTCTCCCCGCACATGAACTGCACGAGCCGCTCCTCGTCCGGCTCGCTCCACTTCAGCTCCACGGCGTCGGGATCCACCACCTCGGGCTCCAGGAAGAGCTTCTGGGCCTCCCTGTGCGGCCAGTTCTCGGGCAGCGGGTACTTCTTGGTGTCGAGCTGCCGCACGATCCTCTCGATGGACTTGTGCTCCCGGATGAGCTCCACGGCGCGCTTGGGCCCGATGCCGCGGATGCTGGCGCAGTAGTCGCAGCCCAGCAGGATGCACAGGTCCACGAACTGCTCCCAGGTGAGCTGCATGTCCTGCAGGATGCGGTTCAGGTGGAACTCCTGGATGGGCAGCTTCTTGGTCTCGCTGGCCGTGAGGTGCCGCATGAGCACGGGGCTGCCGAAGGTCAGGCAATCCATGTCCTCCGTGGCGGCCGCGTACACCTTCCCGGCCTTCACCAGCGCGGCGCAGCTGGCTTCCGCCTCTCCGGGAGCCTCCACGTAGGGGATCCCCATCAGCTCCAGCAGCTTCTTGCACTCCTGGGTGTGCTGCGGGGTCACCTTGACCAGCCTCTTGCTGTACTTCTCGACGTTCTCCTCCTCGCCGGCCTCCTGCGCTTCCTGCAGGTGCTTCTCCGCCTCGGCCCGGCGCTCCGTGCGCTTCGCCAGCTCCCCGGATTTCAGCTGCGGGGGCTTCCCGTCGAACACGTACACGGGCTTGATGCCGTTCTCCACCATGCGGATGGTGCGGTAGAACATGCCCATGAGGTGGCTGGTGGTGTCGCCCTCGTCGTTGTGGAGCACGTCGGCGCCCTGGCGCACGGCGATCAGGAACTGGTAGATGCTCATGGAGGCGTCGATGGCCACCTTCCGCCCGAAGTACGACTTGATGTCGTTCTCCCGGATGGCCCCGGGGGCCACGTCGGCGATGAGCTTGGCCAGGCCGTGGATTCCCATCCTGAGGAATGGGAAAAGGGATGTTGGGAGTGGGCTCTGCATGGGGAATATCGGGCCACCCAAGGAAAGGGGGGCCAAGAGGGGGTGGCTGCTTCCCCTGCAAACCATCACCCTGTGGTGCTGTTACCCCAACTCCAGCCTCAGCCATTATCCCAATTCCAGCCTCACCCGTTACCCCAATTCCAGCCTCACCCGTTACCCCAATTCCAGCCTCACCCGTTATCCCAATTCCAGCCTCACCCGTTATCCCAACTCCAGCCTCACCCGTTATCCCAGTTCCACCCTCAGCCCCCCATCATCCCCCACACCTCACGGTCAGCCCCCCATCTCAGCCCATCATCACTCCCCTTCCTCCCTCAGCCTCTCGCAGCCCAATCCCGCTCCCCTAAATTTCTCTGTGTCCACCATTATAACCCCACCTCCTCCCATTGCCACTTCACTATTTCCCGGCTCCCCAGGCCTCCCAATAACCCTCTTCCCTTCTCATCCCCCCCAGTCCTCCACTACCCCCCTCCCAGACCCTCCTCAGCCTCTCCAGCTGCCCCTATCCCGCCCCCAGCCTCCTCAGCCGCCATTATCCCCTCAGAGCCCCCGCCGGTACCCCGTTCCACCCCCAGCCGCCATTACCCCCCTCCTCAGCCTCCCCTAGCACCCCTCTCTCCAGGCTCTCCTCATCGCCCCCGGCCGCCGTTAACCCCTCGGACCCCCCCATTCCCCGCACGACCCCCATTACGGCCCCGTTCCCCCCTCAGGCCCCACCGAGAGCCGCCATTACCCGTCCGCTCGCGCCGCCGCCGTTCCCGCGCTCCGCCGCGGCGCCCGCCGGGAACCTCCGCGAGCCAATGAGGAAGCGGCGCCCGCCGGGAACCTCCGCGAGCCAATGAGGAAGCGGCGCCCGCCGGGAGCCGCCGCGAGCCAATGGGGAAGCGGCGCCCGCGCGCGCCGCGCCTCGTTCCCGCCCTCACTCCCACTTCCGGCGGCGGGGGGGGCGGACGTGCGGCGGAGGCGGCAGTGGCGGAGCCGACGTGTCGCAGCGGGAACCCGGCGACATGGTGAGGGCGCAGGGGGGGTGCCACGGGGGGCCGGGGCCGGGGCCGATCCCACTGAACCGCCGCTGTGTCCCCCGCAGGAGCTGGAGGCGATGAGCAGATACACCAGCCCGGTGAACCCGGCCGTGTTCCCGCACCTCACCGTGGTGCTGCTGGCCATCGGCATGTTCTTCACCGCCTGGTTCTTCGTGTATCCCCCCGGGGCCGGGCGCGGGGGGGCGGGCGGGGGTGTCCCCTCACCCTTCTCTGATCCCGGATTATCCCACCAATCCCGGGCTCCCCTCCCCTTGTTTAATATTATCACCTTAACCTCGGTCCTGCAGCTACGAGGTGACATCCACCAAATACACCCGGGACATCTACAAGGAGCTGCTGATCTCGTTGGTGGCCTCGCTCTTCATGGGCTTCGGAGTCCTGTTCCTGCTGCTCTGGGTCGGGATCTACGTGTGAACCCCCCGGACGTGGGATTCTGGGAAGCTCTTTTTATATTTCTTTTGTACTTCAGCAAAAAAAACCAACAGGACCTCCTGTGTCAGGTGTGGTGTGTGACACCTGAATAAAACTGGCTCTGTGACACACCTGCCTCGGGACTCCTGATTTGTCTTTTAGGTGTTTCTGTTTACCTGGATTTTCCAAACCGCTTGGATGGAATAATGGGATCGTTTGGGTTGGAACAGCCCTTTAGGATCAGAGAGTCCAACCATTCCCCCAGCACTGCCACCACTGCCCATGGCCCCAAGTGCCACAATCCACAGGGATTTTAAATCCCTCCGGGGCTGCTCGCTCCACCGCTGGAGCCCGTTCCAATGCTTGACAGCCCCTTCCATGTAGGAATTTCTCCCTGATATCCAACTTAAAGCTCACCTGGTGCAACTTGAGGCTGTGTCCTCTCATCCTGTCACTTGTTCCTCGGGAGAAGAGGCTGATCCCACCTGGCTGCAGCCTCCTGCCAGGGATTTGTGGAAAGCCAGAAGGTCCCCCCTTGATCCTCCTTTTCTCCATATTGGCACAAGGTCCAGGTGCTTTGGGATATGTCCGGGGTTATCCCAGATTTCCATGCTGTGTGTGGCCAGAAGAGTTCCAGTGCCACCTTGTGTCCTGGTACAGCCAGTCTATGGAAAATAAAGCCTAAAGCTGTTTTTAATCCCTCAGTCTTGCTTGCCATGGCATCCCCTCACCCTTTTTTGGGAATGCTGTGCATGCTCTCATCCCGAACCAGGAGTTTTATGGCTCAGCAGTGAGAGCAAAGAGCTGGAGAATTAATTTATTAATTCCTGAATTAACTGCGTGGTCTATAAGCAGATTTATGGATTTTTAAGGGCAGATTGGAATTTTAGCCCAGCTTTCAAACAATTCCAGTTCCAAAACACAAATTCAAGCCCCAGTTTCCTATTTGGAAAGGAAGATTGCCTTTTGTGGACTCTTGGATCCTTGTGGATCTGGCCCTGCCCTCTGACATGGGAGAAATAACAGGCCAGAGGCAGATTTCCTTCCTTTTTTTTTCCTTTGCTTTTTTTTTCTTCCCCTTCCCTTTTTTCTCCCCTTTCTTTCCTTTTTCCTTTCTCCTTTTTTCCTTTTGTCTTTTTCCTTTTTTCTTCATTTTTTCCTTTTTCCTTTTCCTCTCTTCCTTTTTCCCTTTCTCATCTTTCTTTCCTTTCCCCTTTCCCTTCTTCTTTTCTTTTCCCTTTAATCTTCCTTTTTCATTTTCCATTTTCCCATTTTTTTTCCTTCTTCATTTTTCTCCTTCTTTCTAGTTTCTTTTCCCTTCCTAATTTCTTTTTGCTCCTTCCTTTCTCCTTTTTATCGCCAACAACCCTGACTGGACCCTGACATCCAGAAACTCCCACCGATTAAAGACAGGGAATTTCCTCCATCCCACTATTATTCCCTGGGAAGGCAGGAAAGCACCAGGAGCCATCCTTGGATACAAAGCAGTATTTATATATTTTATTCATATGGGCACATTTACCTCCAGCAGAAAACAAAGTCTAAATAAGCCAAACAAAACAAAACAAAAAAAAAAAGGGGGAGGGGGGAATCCAGAGACTCAGCCCCTCCAAATTCAGCAAAATATAAATATAAATCAGGAAGAAAAGAGGGAAACCACGTTTGTTTCCCACAAATAAAAACCAGGAATCAAGAATAACCTGCTACAAATGCAACTCTACAAACTGGCTGGCAAAATACAGTGATTAAAGCTGTGGCAGCAACATTTAAACCAACAAATTAGTGCTTTACTTGGTGGTTTTTTCCTTAAGTCTTCCAGTGGTGCCATAGTCTCTATTTACAGGCTTTAAGCTCCAACAGCAGGACAGAAGAGTTGGGAATTTGCTTTTGAAACAAATTCCCAAACAGCCCAAGTTTCCACCCTTTTGTCTTCCTTCCTGCCAGGAATGTCTCTGGATAAAGAGGGATTTCTCCAAGCTCAGAATTCCCTCTGTCCCACGTGGGGAAAGGCCTGATTGTGAACTCTCTTGGGACTGACTGGGGACGGGGAAGGGGCAGGTGTGGGTTTTGGGGAGAAATCCATACAAACAGCTGTTTCCACGGGCCTAGAAGCAATTCCATGACTCCTTGATTTTAATTTTATAATTATAAACCCCATTTCTGCCTCACTGGGCAGCAGCTGATGATTTTTAACGTGGAACCCTGGAACGGTTTGGGTAGGAAGGGACCTTAAAGCCCGACCAGTTCCATGGGCAGGGACACCTTCCACTAGCCCAGGTTGCTCCAACCTGGATGTGAACACTTCCAGGGCTGGGGCATCCACAGCTCCCCTGGGAAACCTGTGCCACTTCAGACACAAGATCCTGTTGACACTAAAAGCTCCACCCTGAATCCCTGTCCTCTCTCCATCCCGGGGATTGCTCCCGGCTCCGTGTGGGCAGGGCTGGCCTTGGCACTCCAGGAGGTGCCTCATCCCGGTTAAGCCACAGTTTCTGAGGCAGCATTTGACAAATACATGGGAAAACACTGTTCCCTGGGGTTGTTCCACAAGGAAAAAGGCACCAGAGATGTTTCCAAGCCCTCAGGTGCTTGGTTTGCTGGGAATCCCACTAAATCCCATGGATGAGCATCGTGGGGACACCTGAGAGATCCCAACTCCTCCTGGGCCACCACTGATTGATTCCTTCCCTCAGGAGCAGGGTGGGATGTGCTGGGAAGTCTTGGATGAGGTGGAGGGGATCTGAGGGGGTGATTGCAGGCTCTGGCCCTCCCAACAGTCCCTGTTTCCTCTTCCAAGGGACATTTCTCCCAGCCTGGCATCACTCACCTGAGGAAGGACGTGCCAGCCTGGGCCATTGATTGCCAAGGGGACAATAAACCTGCCAGGGAATTCACTTTCCAGCTTAAAGCCGGGAAAAACCCCTCGGGGCAGGCGGAGGGAAGAGCACTGAGCTACATCCAGGTGTTTCCTTCAGGATTTGAGGGGGAAACAGAGAATCCTGCTGAGCACGGAGCCGACCTCCTTGTGCTCAGGTATTCCCAAGCCTTGGGGTGTCTTGTTGTCCCACTGAGCTTCCCAAAATTGGGTTTTCCGACTGCTTGGCTGCTTGGAATTCCCTGCTCACCCACTATGTCCTGCTTCCCAGGATTCAGTGGATTTTAGTAACTGTGTGATTCAGTGTTTGCTGCTTCCAGGCCTAAACCCCTGACCTGGAAACCACCAACTCCAACAAGGAATTTTAGGGCTGCTTTGCTGGGATAAGCTCTGGAGGTGGATGACAAGAGACAAAACCAGACATCCACAGGAACCATCACTTTACCTGGATAAAAACCATCCTGTTTTTCCGGAGCAGCTCCTAAGCATCCACAGGATCAGCGTGTGGCATTTCCCCCTCACTGTTTTCCTTAGGGAAATCCATCTCGGAATAACCTGGAAGTGGCTGAGCCTCCAGGAATGCAGATAACTCCTGTTTAGCAGGAGGAGCCGGAGCGTGATGGGGAGGGGGATACACACGGAGCCACTTGGCTTTCCCATGTGGCTCAGTGGGGCAGGATGAAATTCCCATTTTTTTTTTTACAGCTTAAAACCCCAAAGAACTCAGTAGTTTAGCAAGTTAAGGACTTGTAACAGTAACATATCCCAAAATACCCCAACACAAGTGCTCTGGGAGGGCAGGGACAGCTCGGAGCCACTGCCATTCCCACTTTTTGGGAGACCACCGCCCTCTCCCGAGGCAGAGATCCCGCCCTGGCACATTCCCAGGGACTTGGCCTTGCTCTGCAGGGCGCTCCAGGATTTTCCAGCAGTCTCTGTCCTGCACATCTGGGCAGGGGTTGGTGTTGGCTTGAGAGCCGACCAGGCAGCTCCATATGCTGCTCCCAGATGGATAAAAACAGATCCCACAACACTCAGTGTGGGAGAATCCCGGTCATCTGTCACCCCTGGGTTGATGCCAAGTGTCCCCGCACATGGTGTGGCCTCGGCAGCAGCTTTAGTGGGAGTTTTATCCATCCAGACCTGGATCTGGTGGGATTTAAGAGCACAGAGAGGAGGGGGAATGATGTGGAAGCTGCTCCTTCTCGGGTTGTTCCCAGGGGAACGTGTCCATTGGCAAGTCCGAGGGGCTCCAGGGGGTCTGTGGGAAGTGGCCCTGGGCCAACTAGAAGGAACAGCAACTCCAGTGTACGACTTCCAGTATGTCCAGGCACAGCCCTCCTTTCCAAAGGCCAAACCCCTCGGAAAGGGCTCCAGTGTTGAAGCAATTCCAGTGTTGTGAAGAACTGACGTGGGACACCCGGGAGCACCAGGAGATCCAAGGAAGGAGCATCCCTTTGGGATGTGGCCTTCAGTCCGGTGTGATGCTTCCCAATCCAGCGTTGGAAGGGGAGGGAGAAGTGATGGAGGACACAGGGGTCTCCAGGAGGGAAGGGAGAGGGACGTGGGATGCTGGGAACAGGCGTGAGGTCACCCCTGGAGCCACCCCGGGACTGGTGGTGGGTTTTAGGTCCTGGGTGTGCTCAGCATCACCAGCCACCAGCATTCCAGCTCCGGAGCTGCCGCAGGACACGGGGATGAGGGGGGCTGGGGAATTCGGGAGGCTCCCCAGTGGCACCAGTCCCCCTCCTGTCTCCAAGCAGAGGGCACTGGTGCTCCCGGGAATCACTCGCAGAGCCAGTAAAACTGGAAGTAATAGTCGGTGAAGAGCTGGCCCAGCTGCTCCGGGGAAGTGCCGCAGTCGGCCTGGCCCTGGGAATGGGAAAACGAGCTTACAGACGGGGGCAGGATGCCAAGGAGGGAATTCTGCCTGGATTATGGGCTGGAAAAATCATCCCCCCCCCACCAAGAGCGGTGGTGCCACGTGGCTGCTAAACCTGCCACGATCCCACATGTCTCTCCTTCCACAAGGCAAGAGGAAGGAGGAGCAGCTGGTGGAACTCACCGGCTGAGCGACTCGGAAGTGGTAGGAAAACTCCTGGAAAGACATCATCACCAGAGGCCAGCGGTGCGTGGTGTCCTGGGGAAGGAAGGGGAATAGTTGGGATGAGATCAGGGATGAGCAGAGGGATGCTCTGGGGACGGAACACATGGCCTTGGGCTCTGGAGTGACCCCACGGAGGTTTCCCGGAGAACAAGTGGGATGAGGAGCGGCTGAGGGAGCTGGGGATGGGCTCATCTTGGAGAAAAGGAGGATCAGGGGCATCTTCTCATTCCCTACAACTCCTTGACAGGAGGGTGGAGCCAGGTGGGGCTGTGCTCTGCTGCCAGGGAACAAGGGACAGGACAAGAGGAAACAGCCGCAACTTGTGCCAGGGGAGGTTCTGGCTGGATATGTGGGAAAATTCCTGTAATGGAACAGGTTGTCAAGCATTGGAACAGGCTCCAGTGGTGGGGTCTCCACCTCTGGAGGATAAAATCCGTGTGGATGTGGCACCTGGGGACATGATCTGGGGTGGCCTTGGCCGTGCTGGGGGGATGGTTGGACTCCATCATCTCAAAGGGCTTTTCCAACCAAAATGATTCCATGTTTGAGCATGAATGCCCTCCAGAAACTCCTGTGCTGCCCGTGGGTGGTGTGCTGGGCTGACTGTCAGCTGTTCCCTTCTCCTTACCTGTGCATCCATGGTATCCATGGAGCTGTTCCTGCTCACAGCATCCTGGCAGGGATCACTGGAGACAAGGCCACAAAGGGAGATGGACACAGCGGAGGAGGAGCTGGGAAGAGAGGACACAATGAGAGTCTGGAAGGGGGAACATCCACAGCCCCTTCCCCGTGGAGACACCATGGCCACATCAGTGTCCGGCCCCTCTGGGGGCACTGGAACACCCAAAGGATGTTCCTTTGGATCCCTGTCCACTCACTTCATCTCCAGGGTCAGGTTGGTGTCCACAGCCGTCCGCTGGTTCACAGGGATGCGGAAGCTGAAGTTTCCAGTCCTGGGAACACAGAGGGAGGATGAGATGTCACCAGGCTCTGGGATAAGACCCAAAATCCCTGTTGGGCTGAGGATTCACATGGGAGATCTTCCCAAGGATGAGCCCATCGCCAAACACTTTCCCTGAGGGCAGCACTGGCGGCGCCAGTTCCAATTCCCATGGAATGGTGTGAGCTGCCATGAGGTGATAGCAGAAAACACCCAAGGGAATCTTGGAAAAACTCCAAGATTCGTCCATTTCTTTCTTCCCACGGTGCTGCTGCCACCAAGGTGCCACCAGCCAGCCCTTCCCGCTCACCTGCAGGCGTCAGAAGCGGCGCAGTACTGGGAATGGATGGCCAGGTTGATCTCCAGGATCCGGATGGATTCCAGCACTGGGCTTGGCCCTGTCGGCGGGAGAACGAAGTGTTTAGGAACAGCTGGAAACCCCTGAGGGAGGAAGGCTGGGAGGGACAGGAGGTGGGAGCCACGTACCATCCGTGCCGGGATGCTCCGTGCGGAGCCGCTCGCTCACCGGCTGCCGGAGGCTGCGCCGCTGCCGGGAGCTGCTGCGGGAGAGCGAGAGGTTGGAGATGTACTTGGATTTGCCCTGGATGTGGGAGAAGGGGGAGGAGGGGCTGGCATTGGGGCTGCCGAAGCTCTGAGACCTGTCAGGAGTCTTTGGCCACTTGGAGTAGGAGGAGGATTTCCCGGTGATGCCCCTGGATTTGGCTTTGATGTTTGTCGCTGGAAGGAGGGAGGTCTGGCTTTGGTCTGTGGAAAAACGGGAGAAGAGGTTGTGCTGAGAGGCTGGGAGCAGGTGGGAGCACTGGGATCACCCTGTCCCCATGTCACCTCCTGAATTACCCAGGCTGCCCCAGGAAGCTGTGGCTGCCCCATCCCTGGAAGTGTTCAAATCCAGGTTGGATGGGCCTTGGAGCAACCTGGTCTAGTGAAGGTGTTCCTGTCCATGGAATGGGATGAGCTTTAAGGTCCCTTCCATCTAAACCATTCCAGGATTTTGTGATTCCATTCTCTCTGTGCCCGATGGTGCCAGGGATGGAATGAAGGGGGAATGAGGTCACACCTCAAGGTAGGGCTGCTCAGGTGAGCTGAGCCTGGAAGTGCTTCCCGTGACTTTGTGCTGGAAAAGCGGGAAACTCCAAATCCTTTCCAGCCCCAACTTACCCCTGGCAGCAGGATCAGGGATGTCTGAACTGTGCATATGGGCAGAGAAGGATATAAAGGATAAATATAAGGATATAAAGGATATATGTATGGTATAAAGGATATATATATATTGTATAAAGGATGTATAGAAGATATAAAGGATATAAATAGGAGGATATAAAGCCATTAGAGAGCTTCCAAAGGAGGGGGACAAGGATGAGGAAGGATCTAGAGGGAAGGTGTGGGGAAAGGGAGCTGGAATTGTCGTCCTGGAGGAGACCGAGGAGACCTTCCCACAAGGAGCAGGAGGTGAGAGACAAGGATGTCACATAAACCTTGGAGATGTCCCAGAACCTCTGGGAATCTGGGATGGCCCTCACCTGTCCTGTTGGTGCTGTGAGTGGGGCTGGTCTCCGAGGGGACCACGGAGGAGACGCCGGTGGGAACAGCGGAGCAGCACATGGAAAAACACGGAGGGCTGAAACAGGCCAGGACACTGGGAGCAGGAGAGCCCAGGGATACTCCAGCTGTGTCCTCTGGGACTGCAGGGACACAGGAATAACTCAAGGGATCCAACAGGAGCAGCACCCAGTGCCCCACCACCCATTTCATGAAAGCAGAGCCATCCCAGCACGGTGGGAGGGGGGAGGCACCACCCTGGTCATCCCGAATCCCAACCCACCATCCCGAATCCCAACCCAGCACCCACCGTGCTCCAGGGGGCTCCTGCTGCCGGCTCCATTGGATGTGGCCGTGGATCGCACCATCTGGGTCTTATCAATGTTCTGGCTTGACCTGGAATGCAGGAAAACGTGGTGAAAACCTGGATTGGGACTGTGGTGCCGCTCGTAGGTGTGGAGAGAAGAGGTTGCAGTGAGATAATGGAAAGAGGGACACGGAGGAACAGGAGACATGGAGGAGGACAGAGTGGAATGATCTGGGAAAGGGAAGGCAGGAGAGAGGTACACAAGCCATGAAGACAGCCAGGAGAGCTCAGAAATCCATAGGGAATCGTATGGCAGTCCCATGTCTGGCAAGGACAATAGGACAATTCCCAGCTGCTTCAGAGGACACCAGCAGCACTCCTGGATCATCCTGGAACAGGGTGGATTTCACTCTCAGTGGTGATACCCTGGCTGGGTTTGGGTTCTTGGGACTCAACAGGCTCCAAGCACTCGCATTCCCAAAGGAATGTGCCCCTCATCTCTCTGAGACTGTCTGTTCCTCCCCTTGTTCCTCACAAACACACCCAAGTTAATCCCATGGAATTCACTGCAGCTATCCAAGAGCTGAGCTGAGGACACCACAGGCATCTCCTGAGGATAAGGGAGATGGGAAAGGGGGGGAATCTTTCTCCCAGGTCTGCAGCGCTTTTGGGCACCTGTGTCCACGTCTGACCTGTCCCTGAGCACCGCTCTGGGTTTCCCAGGGATTAACGGAGCTTCCTGCCCTGGGAGAAATCAAAAACCCACTTTGTCCCCTGCAAGACTTATTTTATTACAGGGATTTCTTTTCCAGGTGAAAGGAGGCTCAGTGCTGGTCTCCTGGACGGAATGTGGAGCTTCACCTTCATCCCATCAAAATCCAACCCTTGTCCCTCGTGTCCTTCCACTGCCTCATTCACCTTTTCCATGTGTGGCTTTATCCTGCTTTACTTGCAGGACATTATTTCCTTATTTAACCTTTAATTGATTGATTTTTCCATCTCCTAATCCCAATTTCCCCTGCCTAACAGGGTCCACAGTCCTTCCTCCTGGAATCCCATTGGAGTCCCACATCCATTTCTCTGCTTTCAGTTTTGCTTCGTTTTTTTGGTCTCCTGGGATGCAGATGGCAGGAGAAAAAAGAGGAATTAAGAGAAGGAGTAACGGGATAATGAAACAGTCACATACCGTGGACACAGAGCGACCGGAATTCCGGGACCGCCGTGCCGGAAGAGGGCCAGGAGACAGGCAGTGGGCACAGCAAAGGAGCTACAGGACAGTGAGGGACACAGGGAGAAGAGGAAAAGTGGGAAGATGCCCGGGAGGACAGGGAATGAAAGAGGATGTGGAAGATAACGGGAAGGAAAAGACAAAAATGGGGAAAATTAAAGGCAAAGGGGAAGGAAAACGGGTTGGATGAGAGATGGAAGCAGGAGAGGAGGGAGAAGAATGGGACAGGGAAAAGAGGGAGAGAAAAAGAGACTCATTATCAGGTCACAGGAGCTCCCAAAGCTGGTCCGGTCCCACTGAACCAGTGGGATGAGGCCGGAGGCATCCAAGGAACATCCAAGCCTGGCCACGAGTGGATTTGTGAGCAGCCAAATGGGGCCTTCCCTTTTCCTTCTCTATTCCTCACTTCTCGCTCCAGATATTCCTCATTTCCTCCAGATATTCCTCACTTCTCGCTCCAGGTAACTCAACCGACACCAGACTGGGATGTGTGGATGTGTCGGGTTGGATTTGCCCCTCTGGAATTGTGCTCCACAACGCCAGGGCAGCTGGGTTTTGTGCTTCAGCCTCTCCCAGGCCCCCTCATCCCTTCCCAGCGGTTCCCAAAAACACCCACCCGTCGATATCCACGAGATCCTCCTCACTGCGCAGGCTCAGCACGTAGAGAGTGGACATGGACACAACGCTGGAAAAGAGAGAGGGGAAAGCTGAGCAGGGACATGGAGCAGGGATCTGTCACGGCACTGATCTGCTCCCAAGGGATTCCAGCCCACGAAAGACGGCTGCTCCATCCCTGGAAGTGTCCAAGGCCAGGTTGGAGCGACCTGGGATACTGGAAGCTGTTGGGGTTGCAACTGGTTGAGCCTTGAAGTCTCTTCCAACCCAAAGCATTCCAGGATTACGTGGAAAAAGCCCCTCACTGCACCCCCCATGGATGGCACGGCCCAGACGGATCAGCCAGAGGGAAGGATCATCCCAGGTGCTGGGAATCACCTGAATGCCATGATGATGACCAGGGCAATGATGGTGCCCTGCAGGAAGCGCTGGCTGATACAGGCCTGTTCCGGGACAACCGACGGAGACTGCAAGGAAAAAACACCCGGATCAGCTCAGATTCCTCCCACGACCTCCCCAAGCCCATCCTGAGCTCTCTTCCTGCTCCCTGGAAATCCTGAACTCCCCCGTCTGGAAGCCATTTAACACCTACATTGGGCACAGACAAAAGGAATATCATGGAATCATTAAGGCTGGAAAAGCCCTCTGGGATCCCGGAGTCCAACCACTCCATAGGCACCACTAAACCATGTCCCCAAGTCCCACATCCACACGGATTTTAAATCCCTCCAGGGATGGGGACTCTATCACTGGAGTCTGTGCCAGAGCTGGAGAACCCTTTCCATGAAGGAATTTCCCTGGATATCTGACTTAAATCCCCCCTGGTGGTCGTTTCCTCTCATCCTGTCACTTGGGAGCAGAGCCCAGTCCCACCCGGCTCCACCCTCCTGCCAGGGAATTGTGCAAAGGGGTAAGGGCCCCCTGATCCTCCTTTTCTCCAGGATGAGCCCTCCCAGCTCCTCCCACCTGGCACTGCTCCTTTGGGATCCATCCCTCACCTTGGTGGCCACTTTGTGGGGTCTCTTTTTGTGGGGAACACTTCCCGCCCGGCTGAACTGGCTCCCTGTTTGGCTGCAAGGAAAAAGGAGCAATGGAGTTGAGCTGGGCAGGGATGGTTCTCCAAGCCATTCCCAGGGAAAAATGGGATTTTCCAGTAGGGAATAAACCTGTGTGTGGCATGACAGTCACAAACCCTTTGGGGGCTTTGCCCAGAGAGCCCCAGTTCTGCCCCAAAACCTGCATAAGCAGGGTCAGGATGGAGGTTCTGGAAGCATGGGAAACTCTTTGCCATGAGGAAATGGCAGGCAGTTGGAATTGGAGACAATTCCATCCGGGCTGTTTTTGGGAACGTCAAACCTCCCCAGCCTCAGCTCCTTAAACCCCAAGTGATGTCGTCAGACAACATCCCAACACCCTCCCCATCTCCCACTTCCCGATCCCAGCTGCCACTCGGAATTTCCTGGGATCCAAGGGGACATTCCTTGGCTCCGGTTGTACCTGAAGGCTCCGGAGCTCACGGTGGACTTCATGCTGTCCAGTCTCTTGAGCTTGGCCAGCTTGTGGCTCCACCTTTCCAGCTCGTCGATGCGGGTCTCCAGGTTGTCTGTCAGCTTGCACAGCTCCTTCACGGCCCCCACGTTCTCCATGAAGATCCGCTCCTGCCAGGGAATCGGGATGAGGAACCCTTGGATCTGGCCGCCCCGACTGCTCTCCCGCGCCACGTCCCGTGGGAAAGGCTGCGGGAGTCACCCAGCATGGACCATCTGGATCTCTCCAACCCTCCAGGTGTGACGTGGGAGACTGTCCCCACACCCCTGTGGGGCATGGGAGGTGATTCCCAGAGCAGCAAACAGGTTGGGAAAGGTCAGGAGACCGGGTGCTCCAGGGTATCTTGACATAAGCACCTTATCTTATCCAGAAAGGGGAGATTAGGACCGGGAGACTCCCTGCAGGAAGCTGCCAGCAGGGAGCCCTTCCCGGGGGAGATGTTGCCAGATTTCCCTCCCTGCCCAGGTCCAACGCCCACCCAGGGCTGCTCCCGACTTCTGGAATTGCGGCCAGGCCCGAAACTCATCTGGGTGGAGCCAGGAGCATTTCCCAGGCACCGCATTCCATATCCAGCTCCTGGAGCTGGGTTCACCGGCCTCCCAGCTGCCACCAACCTTGTTCACCACCAGGAAGTTCTCCAGGGTCTTCCCATTGGAAAAGACCAGGTCCCCGGTGTCCTTCACAGCTTCCGGGAGGATTTCCTTCACCTCCTGAGCGATGACACCTGGGGACACGTGGAGAGAGCATGGGGGGGGGTCAAGGTGGGATGGGAAGGGCCCATCCCACCTCATTATCCCCAGATTCCATGGACAGGGATCATCAACCCGCTGTAGGATCTACCTGTACTCCCAAAGAGAGGTGGATACCTGGAGAAACCTTTCCCCTGTGGGAAGTGCCACCTTCTCTCCCACTAAATTCCCTAAAGAGGGAATTTCATCAGATTCCTTAATTCCAGAGGTGAGAACTCCCCTCTTGCCCACCTCACACCCAGGGCAGAACTGGACACGGCCCCTACGAAAGGCAGAGAATTCCTGTGGGACATTCCTGCCTTAGAGGTGTATTCCCATGGGATATACCTGTCTCAGAGGCGTATTCCCATGGGATATACCTGTCT